TGATGTTGAGATTTCTTATTGATTCACTGTATCGTAATTAAATATAGATTGATTTGCTGGATTAGCTAGTTTTCAGGGATTATCTTAATTATATGAATTAGCTTAATTATAGGGATTTGATTGTGTTTCAGAGATATATCCTCTCTGCTGTTACTGTATATAAAATCATTCTCTGTAATAATAAAGAATCAAGCTTGAAAACCTTTTTTTCACAATATGGTATCAGAGCCCTCCTTTTTTTTCCAGCTTGATCCATCATTTTCTTAACCTTTTTTTTAATACCCATAAGATGTCTTCACCCAAATCATTTGGGTCTACATTGAGTCCTGTCATTATTCAATCTGAAAGTGCCTTCAATGCTTGCATCATTCTTACCGAAACAAATTACGACATATGGTCGCAAATCATGGAAATGCATATTGCAGAGAGGGAGAAACTCTCATATATTTGAGACAAGGAGAAAGAACCTGCATCGCAAGATCCTGATTATGAAAAATGGTATGCAGAGAATCAAAAGGTGAAGAGGTGGTTGTTATTATCCATGAGCCCAGAAATCATGAAGCGTTACTTACGCTTAGCCACTGCACGTGAAATTTGGAAGGCATTATCTAATGCATTCTATGATGGAAGTGATGAGTTACAAGTTTATACTTTAAATCAAAAAGCCTTTACTGCCAAACAAAGTGGTAGGCCTCTCTCGGAGTATTATGGAGAACTGGTAGAAATTTTCCAGGAATTGGATCATCGTGATAAGGTTGTCATGAAAGATCCTGAAGATGTCACAACTTACAAGAAATCAATTGGACGGCTAAGGGTGCATATATTCCTTGCTGGATTAGATAGTGAGTTTGAACAAATTCGTGGAGAGATCTTATGCAAAGAACCTGTCCCAGAATTGGAGACCTAATGCGTCAAGCAAGTTGGAAAGGTGAATCTGAAAGTTCTGATAGCACAGCCATGATAGCTTGTAACCGAAATTGGCAAGGTCAAACAAAAGGAAATCACTCTAAAGCCAACTCAAAGTTTAAATGCAGACATTGCAATCAGCAAGGACACACTAAGAGTCGTTGTTTTGAACTTAATGGTTATCCAGAGTGGTGGGATCACAGCCGGGATCAACGAAGAAAGAATCCAACCACAGCTGTTGTTGAGGCAAAGATCATAGATGACGCCTCTAAGGAGTCTAGTGCATTGATGGCGACTAGAGGTAATAATGGTGAGTCTTCTATACCTATTACTAATAGCACATGGATAATTGATTCAGGTGCCACCGATCATATGACTTTTGATTCTAGACAAATTTCATCCATGAAACCATCCTCAAAAGAATTAATTTCCACTGCTAATGGTAACACAACCTCTGTTATTGGCAAAGGATCCTTAACTCTTACTAATAATTTGACTTTGGATTCTATTTTAGTTGTTCCATCCCTTGAATATAACCTTTTGTTTGTTTCTCAAATCACTACAGCTTTAGATTGTGTTGTTATATTTTGGCCTAATTTTTGTGTGTTTAAGGACATTCAGACCAAACAGACGATTGGTTATGGTGTTAAACGAGGAAGATTATACTACTTGGACTTGGGGTCAAAAGATTCTAGGAAGTTAGAAAGTGCTTTTATGGTGAACAGTGCTACCAATCAAAAGGAGGAAGTTGAAATGTGGCTATGGCATCGTCGCCTGGGACATGCTTCATTTGGTTATTTAAAAAAATTGTTTCCTTTATTATTTGCAAAGTGTGATGTCTCTGTTTTTCATTGTGATGTATGTGAACAAGCAAAAAGTCATCGTGTACCTTTCCCACTCAGTTTGAATAAAAGTCTTGTTCCTTTTATGCTTATACACTCGGATGTTTGGGGTCCTTCTAAGATTTCTACTTTAAGGGGATCATGTTGGTTTGTTACTTTCATAAATGATTGTACAAGGATGACTTGGTTATGGTTAATGAAATCCAAAGGAGAAGTGAATTTGATATTTCAAAAATTTCACAAAATGATTGAAACCTAATATAATACAAAGATTCAAGTTCTTCGTAGTGACAATGGTGGTGAATACCAAAGTCTAGACCTCAAGAGGTACTTGGAAGCACATGGGATTATTCATCAAACAACTTGCCCTAATACTCTGCAACAGAATAGTGTCGCTGAGCGAAAAAATCGACACTTATTGGAGGTGGTACGTTCTTTATTATTAGAAGCTCATATGCCTTTGTCTTATTGGGGAGAAGCTCTTACTATGGCAGCATATATTATAAACCGAATTCCTTCTAGCTCTAATGAATTTCAAACGCCACTACAGAGCCTCACTAACCAAGTGGTTAGCATCGGTAGTGCAGATTTGCCTTTTCGTGTTTTTGGTTGTGTAGCATTTGTCCATATACAAAAGAACCAAAATAAATTGGCACCTCGAGCTTTACGATGTGTGTTTCTTGGATATGCTATGCACCAAAAGGGGTATAGATGTTACCATCCTCCAACTAAACAAATGTTTATCAGCATGGATGTTGTTTTTCATGAAAAAATAATGTATTTCTTTTCAGAATCTGCACTTCAGGGGGAAAACCATCAAGAATTGCAGATTTTAGACGATAATGGCAAAGAATATGCATATCTTGAGAAAGGTGAGTCCATTAAAGATTCTGATTGCTTTGAAAAAAATACTTCTACAACAATTGATTCCCAGGTTAGAGACCATTTAGAAGCAAATTGTAGCAGCGATAATTCTTATGGAGATAACTTGCAATCAAGTTGTATTGATGAAGAGGAAAATGAAATAAATAGGACTTCAAATGATGAAGTGGTGACCGAACTTGGTATGACCTCCCCTATATCTTTGAATGAGCTTCTTGATGACACACCTAACCAATCGTCTGCTATCATCAATGCTCCTAATCTTGTGTCTGAGCCAATAAAAAAACAACTACCTGAACGTCACACTAGAGGTATTCCTAAATCCAACTATGAACCTACTCTTTCTAGTAAGGTTAGATATCCCATGAATAATTTTGTTTCCTACCATCGTTTGTCTGAATCAAATAAGTCATTTGCAAATCAATTATCTACTGTAGCTATTCCTAACAATGTACAGGAAGCCTTGGTTGATCCTCGATGGAAAAATGCGATGAATGAGGAAATGAAGGCCTTGCAACAAAATGAAACATGGGAACTTGTTGACTGTCCACTAGGAAAAAAACCAGTTGGATGTCGATGGATTTATACTGTGAAGCACAAAGCGGATGGCACAATTGAAAGGTTTAAAGCAAGGCTAGTGGCAAAGGGATACACTCAAACTTATGGGGTAGACTATACAGAGACATTTGCTCCTGTGGCTAAACTTAATACTGTTAGAGTATTGTTATCTTTAGCGGTAAACTTTGATTGGCCATTACAACAATTTGATGTAAATAACGCCTTCCTCCATGGAGAATTATCTGAAGAAGTCTATATGCAACTTCCACTAGGGTGTATGGTTCCAAAAAGGCATAGCCAAAAGGTGTGCAGATTAAAGAAATCCTTATATGGCTTAAAGCAATCTCCAAGGGCGTGGTTTGGAAGATTTACAGAGGCAATGATTGCTTTTGGCTATCATCAAAGCAATTCAGATCACACGTTGTTTTTAAAAAAACAACATGGTAAAATCACTACTATTATTATATATATAGATGATATGATGGTCACTGAAAATGACCATGAGGAGAGGAAAGCCCTACAAAACTATTTATCTGGAAAATTTGAAATGAAAGATTTTGGCCCTTTGAAATATTTTCTTGGGATAGAAGTTTCCAGATCAAAAACAGGACTATTTCTTTCCCAGAGAAAATATATTCTAGATCTTTTACGAGAAACAGGCATGGAAGGTTGTTATCCTGCTACTACTGGAAGATTTAGGATACTCGACTAAGCAACCAATCTAGTTGTATTGCGACAACAAAGCTGCGTGTGATATTGCTCATAATCCGGTACAACATGATCGTACAAAACATATTGAAGTGGACAGATTTTTCATCAAGGAAAAGTTGGAGAAAAGGATTTTAGAATTGCCTAAAATCAGAACAGAAGATCAGTTGGCAGATATCCTCACGAAAGCCGTCTCAAAACCAGTGTTCTCCAGATTTTTAAGCAAGTTGAGCGTGACTGACATTTACGCACCAACTTGAGGGGAAGTGTTAAGATTTCTTATTGATTCACTGTATCGTAATCAAATATAGATTGATTTACTGCATTAGCTAGTTTTCAGGGATTATCTTAATTATATGAATTAGCTTAATTATAGGGATTTGATTGTGTTTCTGAGATATATCCTCTCTGCTGTTACTGTATATAAAATCATTCTCTGTAATAATAAAGAATCAAGCTTGAAAACCTTTTTTTCACAATAAATGATATATTAAAATATCAGAATGTTATGTTATTATAATAATAATTATAATAATAATAATAATAATAATAATAATAATAATAATATATCATTAGGCCTTAAAAGATCTTACTTTTGAGATTACTAACGACTCAGCTAATAGGAAAAATTGAAGAGACTCAAGACCTACGAGCACAACAATAAAATATCACAACTAATAAGCATGCAAAAATAATTTATCAATATTTAGTATTATTTTTGATAAAGTACAAATATTATTCATAAAAATAATCCTATTCAAGTCGAATAATACTACTATAAACTATAGAATTCTATTTTTAACTATTTAACACTTTCTGATCTAATTCACCAAACTTGGATGCATTATGATTATGTAAAAAAATATCTCGAAAGGGTTGGATATGATCGTTTGAGGTTAGGTAAAATCTTGGTGAAATCAATATATTTATAAGAAACATTTTAAAATTACTGGCTTTCTGTCACTAATGCAATATCAATCACTTATGCACCTTTATATTTGAAAATATTTTATAACGACAAGCGTTAGTTGTTTAGCTTCGCATGGCTTAGAAAATGTGCTTCCATCAATATGCCACCAGTGCAATGAATTTACGCCCCATTCATTCGACCAAATTAACCATTCTATTCACTTGACAAAGCTAACAACATGCATCAAGAATCACAATTGGCCTCTCAAAATCCAAATATTAGTCTGACATATTTAAAAAAATATATCAATACTATCCAATCTTGGTATAAATTAATCTCGATGGCCAATGTAAACAAAAACTCAGATCTTAATCCTTTGGTTCTAAAATCAATTTGGAAAGTTTGAACCCATAAAAGAGAAGGCATATTCAGAACCAGATGAAAAAAAAAGGGGAAGAAAAGTCATGGAGGAATCACATCAACAATCACACCAATTAATTTCAACATGAATCTCCACTCCAAAGCAGTGGGAGTATGTTGGAGCCTCCCATCCCATCTAATTCATATATAAGATGTGTATCCCTTGGAAATACTTCAATTTATCGGTAGGAATCTGGGCGCTTTGGCTTGCTCTGAACAACAGCTTCAATCTTCTCCATCACAACAGGAGTCAGTAATGGAATGACATCGATTGCTTTCATGTTCTCTTGAATCTAAGAGAAACAAAACAGGAAAAATAAGATAATATTTTAATGGCAAAGTTCCTTCTTGAAAGCTAGTTATATCTCAAAACATAAAGACATAAATTGCTTTCATTTTCTCCTGTTGAATCAATGCAACAGGAAACAGAAAAAATATGAAAATTTTAATGGCCAACTACATTCTTGCAGGCAAGTTACAATTGTGCACGTACAGGGATGTATAAGCCATTACTTCATTCACCCAATCATATGTACAGAACATTTTCAACCATATGTACGGTATATTATGAAAAAAAAAATGTCAAAAGGTATACATATACAATAAAATATGCATATGATCACGAGGAAAGTTGATTGCATGATTTTTAATCCCGAGAAATAAAGGAGACCACGAAATACATTAGAAGAAATTGTTAAGAATCCCATGGTAAATAGTATCTCTAAATAATTGTTTTTTAACTGAGCCAAATAATGTTGTAATCCATGGAACAGACATCACATAGTTGAATAAGGCTTGGGTGGTTGTAAGCTAATGCATCATCCCCATAACACCAGTTGTATGCATGATGCATCAACACTTTTGTCCTCTTAAGAAAGGTTTATCATTTTCCCTCTATTCATTTTGTTTACATTTCCTTGTGCTTCCAAATTAAACATAAAATTAATGGCTCCACACCTTGTTTTCTGAAACAAGAGAAAAGCTCATTACTGCTTTTGCTAGACTAGGCATTATGTAAACTACAATCAGGATTTTCCGTTTGTTTTTTTATTTGTGTTTGTTTCCAACTTCTAAAATGTAAATGATTTTATTTTTACCATAACCCTTCTAGGACCTTCTGTCTGAAAGGTTGAGTGTGACAGTGATATAAGTCATATGTAAAGTTGAATCTTTTTGAAAACTATGTTTTTCTATAACTGGCTCACCAAAATCGCCATTCAATGCCAATACACCACTTCTGAAAGCTAACCTCAATATCCCAACAGATTATTTTAGCTTATAATGTGGAGGAATTTAAAAAGTGTGAATTGTGCAATGCATTGCATTAGAGAGTACAGGAAGACATATACAATCATAAGCAATGAAAGGTTCAAGGAACAAACAACAAAAGTTGTCAGTGCTGTTCACATGTCACTCATCAGTCATCATTAGTAAGACATGAACAAGTAATCAAAAGGGCAGCAATTAACAGAAATCTTTAACAAAATAGTAATACTACCAGATCAGTAATACTACCAATATAAGCACTTTGGAACAAATTGACCTATACAAAGCAAGAAAGACAGGGCAACACATATGCAAGACTACTGATATGCAATAAAAATAAGGAGTAGCAAAACCATGAGACTTTAGAAGTAAGAATGTCTAATTAAAGAGAAACAAACTCTGTCAGCTATTCTCTCTTTCCTGAACTTACAAAGAGAAGAAAATTCAAAGCCAGACACTAATTACTACAATAGTTTGCAAAACAGCCACACAATTCAATCATTGAATTAGTATTTACCCTTAAACAATTCAAACGGAAAACATAACACTTGTTTAACCAGCGGTAATTCTTAAAATTAGGTTCCCTAAATGATAAAAGGAGTTACTGAACTTGTTTCCAATGAAGCAAAATGATCAGCTTCACAAGTACAGTTGCATTGAATTTCATTTAAATGATGCAACAGTTTGTAGTGAATGCAGTTTAAACATTAGCAGCAAAAGAAAACCAGGAGCAGTACATTAGAGTACAACCTAACATCAAAAGTTGCTAGCATAAATGATTTGACATTTGTGTTCCTTAACCAAAAGTTGGAATTCAATCCCCACCTTGGATATGGAGTTGTAACTAGAGGTACCACTATACCCCTAATATGAGCCAGCATGGTGGGATGTACCTCCTAATTATACCAAAAATTTATTCTTTAAGACCAAGTGTTAAAAACCATAGCCTCTCAATTTGAACCTAGCTTCCTTCACTTCATACCACTAGAAAAAAAGAACAGTGAAAACCTCCAGACTATGCACTTATACAGTAATATTAACAAATTGAAGAAAACTGAAGTGGACCACTAATTAGGATTGCCATAAATCTTGAGTTATTTCATATATTCTGTTTCTTTATATTTCATTATCTTGAAAAGGTTCAGATCCTTAGTATTATTATTTTTCATTAGAATAATTGTTAGTTTTAATGATATTAATTAGGAATCTCTTCATTTTTATTTTATGAATTAGGATAATCATTAATTATGATCCTATTAATTAGGGATATCTTTGCAAGCCTTCTTGTAAAAGGTACACCAAATTGGAATATCATCAATGAGATATTATTTTCAAAAAAACTTGCGTTAATTTAGGAGGGGGTTATGTCAAGGATGAAATCTGCTTCTTGCTTTCACAATGCAATGGTTCATAACAAAAATCTATCCACACTAACACCACACATAAGAAGAAGAAGAACAAACACTAATCCTTTCATCTCAGAAATCAAGGAGAACAAAAGTAAAAAACCAGACAAACAGGAAGCACATAGAGAATTACAGTCAGGAAAAATTATCAACAATCCTGGCATCTGAACAAAATGACCCAAACAAACACGTTATTTTCTCACTACAATGAATCTATTTGGATACAATCTACAAACGCTTCTGAGAGCTTTTCTACCAAAAATAAGTTTTTTTTTTTTCTCCCAGAAGAGAAGTTCTAAACTAGTATTCAAACAGACTCAATGTTCTTGATAACCATTTCAACATGAGATAAACAATTACCACTCTCCTAAACAGTAAGAAAAGATGTCAACAAAACGATCTCATCAAAGATCTTATTTTCTCACCACAACCACAATGCATGCAATCCAAAATCTCAACAACAGACAAACAAAACAATCACTCACCCTCCTTACAACAATATATAAATCCAATGCAACAGCAGAAGAACGAACCTGAGATTCCTTGGTAGCACCACAGATAACCGAGGAAACATTGGGATTGGCAGCACACCACGCAATGGCAAGCTGCGACAAGGGCACTCCAAGCTCATCCGCTATGGGCTTCAATCCATCAACCTTCTTCAGCACATCATCCACCAACGACCTCGACGCCAAATTCTAAAAAAATAAAAAATTTAAATCCCCTTTTAGTCCCCTAGGGATTGTAATTGGAGTGTGAAAATAGACATGTGAGTGAACCTTGTAATTCTCGAGAGCGAATCTGCTATCTGGCGGTATAAGTCCTTTCTTGTACTTGCCAGTGAGGACACCCGATGCGAGAGGACTCCAAGTAGTGAGGCCCAAGCCGTAGTTGGAGTAGAGAGGGAGAAACTCAGCCTCAACCTTGTGGCGGGACAAGAGGTTATACTCGGGCTGTTCGACGATGGGGCCAAGGAGGTCGAGCCTCTGGGCCACGGCCCAGGCCTCGGTGATCTGCTGGGCGGACCACTCGCTGGTGCCCCAGTAGAAAGCCCAGCCCTTGTCGATGACGTGGTTCATGGCGCGGACGGTCTCCTCGATGGGGGTGGAGGTGTCGGGGCGGTGGCAGTAGATGACGTCGACGTAGTCCATGTCGAGGCGTTTGAGGGAGGCTTTGGTGCCTTCGACGATGTGCTTGCGGGAGAGGCCCTTGTCGTTGGGGCCCTGGCCGCCCCAGAAGATCTTGGTGGAAACGACGACGTCGGAGCGCTTCCAGCCCAGCTCGCGGATGGCCTGGCCCATGATCTCCTCGGCCCGCCCGTTGGCGTAGACCTCGGCGTTGTCGAAGAAGTTGACGCCGTGGTCGCGGCAGCACTGCAGGAGGGCCTTCGCCTCCTTCACGTCCAGCTGGTTCCCGAAGCTCACCCACGCGCCGTACGACAGCTGGCTCACCTTCAGCCCCGATCGACCCAGGTTCTTGTACTGCATCTTAATTTGCCACCGGAGAGAGAGTGTGTTTCAGAAAGTAAAGTTGAGAAGCAAGAGAGAGAGACAGAGAGATATTAGTAGAGAAGTCGAGATGAATCGCTGGACGGTGGGTGTTTGTATCTACTATACACGTGGATACTTATGCCCACGTGAAAAATGAAATATCTATTCTATTCCTTTTTTTGAAAAAACAAAATTTATTCTATTCATCATGTCTGCTATCTTCGAATTATATTCCCAATATCTATAATATTAATTTTTTTAATAAATTTAGTATAAAATAATTATTTTATTTACTATTTTTATTATTTAAATCAATTTTTTAATAATTTGTAACAAGTTTCGGTCCGTTCATTCGAAGTATCTAACATTTTTTTATAATTTATACTGCTGGAAAAAAGAAAAAAAAAAACTTTTTTAGATACACTTTTCTTGACAGTTTTATTTGTTGTGAGTGGGAAAAATAGATAAACAAGGACTAGAATCTAACAAAAAGGATTTCCACGTTGGACAAGAGCTTAAGCAAGTAAGTTGTTCTTAGGACAAGTCAATTAACACAAGTACGGCTTGTAAACAAGTTTTACAAATTTTCTCATGGATCATTGAAATATACAAATTTTTTCTTCTTTAAATAAATACCCTCAAAGAGATAAAATCTATCTTTGACCTTATGGCCACAGTCATCAAAAATGGTTTTAAAGCATGGACCATGTTCATACAATTTTCTTATGTTGTCAAATCATTAAATTTGAGTTCTAAAGGAAGAAAATAATGTGTGATTTCTAGATAAAGCATTAACAACTATATCAGATTTTTCAAAAAAGTGTAAGTTTTTATTAATATTATTTAATTCCCCTTTTTTAGTGTCTTTTTTTTTTTTTCAACACCTTGGAAGAGATAAGGAGTTTCTAGAGCTTGTTCAAGATGATATTGTTGGTAGCTTTGATTTGACCATTAGCTTATAGATGTTCATATAACAACACTTGGTGAGTGATGCCATGTTTTTTGAGGAAGCTTTCAAATTTTGCCTTAGTAAATTGTCGGCTATTATCAATGACGATAGTGTTTGGCAAGCCATACTTGCACACGAGGTTCTTCTATGTGAATTTTTGGACATTGTTTGTTATTATGGTTGCCAAAGGTTATGCCTCAATACATTGGTTGAAGTAGTCTTTGGTGACTAGGAGGGAAGGGCCTAGGATGTCCATGTCCCACATGGCGAAGGACCAAGGGGAGTGTATGCTATGCGACTCTTCTATCGGATGTCAAGATGAGGTGCTAAAATTTTGCCATGTATGGCATCAAAAGATGAGCAATTTATTTTGATAGTGAGTTAGTAGTTGGACTGTCAAAATGGGCCAACCTAGTCGTTGGATCGGCCTACCTCAACCTACTTTTTAAGTGGGTTGGCTCGATTCGACCCACTAACCTTAATGCTTAAAATTTTGGCGGGTGATAAACACACCTCCACTCTCGTATAAATACACACCCCCTTTTCTAAAAAATATATATAAAATATCTAAATTACCCTTAAAAAAAATAAAATTCTTAAATTTACACTCCCTTCTCCGTAACCCTGTTCTCCGTACCCCCTTTCCCGCACTCCATACCCCCTTTCCCGCACCCCTCCTACGCGATTGAGAATTGTAGCAGGGAAGTGGTGAAGGCCTTGCTTGAACTCGGCGCAACCGTGAACTACCCCTCTGGCCCCGCCGGGAAGACGCCACTCCACATTGCGGCGGAGATGGTGTCGCCGGACATGGTGGCGGTGCTGCTGGACCAATGTGAGAACCGTGGATGGGGTCACACCTTTGGACATCCTCAGAACCCTAACCTCGGATTTCCTCTTCAAGGGGGCTGTCCCGGGTTTGTCCCATTCGACCCTAAGATCAAGGTCAGTGACAAAGGCAGAATCATCAGAAACGAGAAACAAGACGGTGTCTGCCACGTGTTTGGGAGTGAGCAGCACTCCTTGCAGTCTGGCGAATTTCCGGTAAGCCTCTTGCATCTCCTCCTCGCTCATCCCTCGCCGTTTGCAAGTCAACGACGTCGCCAACCCATTCGGTGAGACGTAGTTCACCCTTATCCCGTGCTCCGCAAGCTGCAAACTCGCCAAACGCATCAGCCCCAACACCGCGTGCTTCGACATGATGTAGTCCGTCGCCGATGGTCCACCGTGGCTGCCACCCACGCTCCTCGTGCACACAATGCTCCCCCTCACGCGCCTCTCCACCATGGCACGCGCCGCGTTTTTCACGCATGCCGCCATGCCGCGCACGTTGAGCGCCAAAACCTTGGCCAGTTCGGACATGTCGAGGTCCTCCACGATCTGCTCGGAGGGGCTAAGGATGCCAGCATTGCTGAACATGATGTCCATTTGTCCGTACGCGTTCACCATCCATTCCACCACCTTCTTCAGTAGCATATGCGGCAACAACAACAACAGCAACATTGGTAACCTTCTTCAATAGCATATGCGGCAACAACAACAACAGCAACATTGGTAACCTTTTTAAGCTGAGGCCGTGCTTGGAGCTTGTTCAATCCGGGGCTCTTGTCATGTGGCGAGAAGAAGGCAATGCCAACAATAACAACAATGGTGTGGGATGAGAGGAAGGGGGGTGCGGGAAAGGGGGTGTAAATTTAGGAATTTTTTTAAGGGTAATTTAGGCATTATATATATATTTTTTTTAAAAAGGAGGTGTGTTTATAAGAGAGTGGAGGTGTGTTTATCATCTGCCTAAAATTTTTTAACCTGGCCTAGCCCACCATGGGTTGATGGGCTAAACGAGCCAACTCACCTAGTTTTTTTTTAAAAAATTCTAAAACTGGTTCAAGGAAAACTCGAGGATCTTGAAGCAAATCTAAGGGGAAAACATTGATCATTCTCCTATAATTGCCATCAACATTTATTAGGATCGACTTCAATGCCTTTGTGGCTAAGTATGAAGCTTGAAATTGATCAACTTGTTATTGTTAAGATGATGAGTTTGAACTCAATTTTTGACAAAATTAGGCTCAAAAGCTTGAATAACGAGTAGGCTTAGAGTTAACTTTGGCAAAATTATTATGACATGTTGAATTTACTATTGTTTTTTGACCATAAGTTTTCTTCTCAACCTCCAATTGTAGAAATTCCCTCTCTCAATCTTCGACAACACCAAGCATCTATTTTCTTAAAATAATATGAATTATCCTTATGATTTTTTGGATTAATGTAGTACTAAGCCTTTTTAGGTTATCGATTTCTTGACATTTAGTGGCTAGATTTTTTTTTCTTCTATTAAATTAAGTAATTTTATATACTGGAAAAGGATTGTTTGATAAAATATATTCGATGGAAACATATTTTTATTGTACATTTATAACAATAACTTGTTTAAGTTGTGTATCGTTTAATTCACACTCATTGTTTTGGTTACCAACACAAAATACATTTTTCTAATTGGCCTAAATATGTTTAGTCTCTACAAAATGAATACGTTTTGATTTTAATCCTATAAAAAAAATTATTTTTCATCCCTAAAAAATTTAGAACAATTGTTTTTAATCCATGTTATTATGTAATTATTTTTAACTATTTATTTATTTATTAAAATATTAAGTAACTATCTCATATGTTACTCAAATTTTTAGTGATACCATATTAGTGACACTATATTATTAGTATGTGATACCTCTAAAAGAATTTATTAGTCCTTAAAATACATATATTTTTTTTATCTACCTTAAAATCATCATAAGAGACCAAAAATAGTAATTTTAGAGGAATGAAAATCAAGAAAAAATATTTTATATAGAAAGAAAAATTCAATTAGTTTACAATGATTAAAAATATTTTACAAAGACTAAACAATATTTACAAATTTTAGAAAGATAAATAATAAAGGAAAATTTTATAAAAACCAAAATCAAAATTCTCTCGATTTATAGAGATTACAAACATATTTATGTATTTTTAATTATATATTCTAATAATATTTTGTCGAAATATATAATGGAAATATATTTCTGTCAAAGATAATTTTATAAAAAAGAATAAAAAATAAGTATGGGCGTGAGAATAAGATGGACCATCCTTGAGAAAGGTAGAACGAAAGCCCAATTATTACAATGTTCAAGTTGGTGAGCCCATTTGAAACCTGAAATTTCCACTCATCAAGACTTGTTAAGTAATCACCCACAATTCTCATTCCCCAGTCAAAAAAACTAGGCAGTGGAATGCGTGCTGGTGGAGCTTTTTTCAGCCTATTACTTTATTCCCATATTCCATTTTATTATATACATGATTCTTATTTATTGTTTTTCATTTACTACTTACACTAATCAGTTCAGTTAGATAAATTTAATTATGCATATCATAAGCATATCAAACTCTTCATTAGAATTAGAGAAGATTGAGTCAATTCTACTTTACTACGTATATGTAACAACTATTTTTATTTATTATTTTACACTTATCACCATTAAATCAATCATTTAGAGGAGGTTAATTTTGTACTTTATCATAAGCATACCAAACTCTTCGATAGAATGAACAGTCAAATGGATATTTAATGAAAAGATTTTAGCCTCTTCAACTCTTCCATTTGGCCAATTCTTATTAATTTATATGTTTCTAAAATATTCTATGGCAACCTATTTCATGAATTAAATTCTCTAATGCTATATGTATCTTCCCATTTGCATTTTGTAGTGGATATATGATCTCTTTCCTATTCCCCTTCCAAGAGAGAAACAAATGTTTTTCTATTTACAAATTGAAGATAGATTCTAAATCTTGATTTCACATGGTGTCTTTCTTCTAATAGCTGGGACATGATTCTATTTTCTCTATTTTGTTTTTGTTGAGAAAATAAAGGAAGCACACAACCTAGTGATTTTGATCCCATAATTTTTGTTGTGCAGTATACACAAGACATTATATTCCTCTGTGAAAAAGTTGGTTTGACACTTTTGTTTTCAATATAAACATTCTATTGGATATGCACGATCTGTTAGTTCTATTTTTATATCCCAATAGTCTATGTTGTAATGTTTACTATATATATACCCTTATATTGGCCTAACTTTGCAATTGTTCTTGATATAAGAGAGAAATGT